CGTTCAGGGGAAGCACCTTGGGATGTCAGATTATACCAAGTGCAGTCCACCTGGGCATAAAACATCCAGTGGAAGTGCCTTGCATACGATACAGAAATCAACAAGTGCAGTCTGCACAGGCAAAACCCAGGGAGAAGCGCCTAAGATACACATGATTAGGCCAAGCGCAATCTACCCAGACAAAAACATCCATGGGAAGTACCTTGGGATACTATTGAGTATGTGAAGTGAGGTCCATCTGGGCAGAAAACATCCAGGGGAAGTATCTTGGGTTATTGTTGAGTATGTGAAGCGTGGTCCATCTGGGCAGAAAACATACAGTGGTAATGCCTTGCATGATAAATTTATATTGTGATCAACAAGTGTAGTCAGCCCAGGCAAAAACATCAGGCTGAAGCACCTTGGATACAGAATATTATGTTATTGCATAATGATTAAGCATAGCGACAATAGCCCTCTTCTCACTGAGTGGGTACATATGACCTTTGAAGTTTGATTTAGTTTATTGTACAAACCCCAATAAGGAGGAAACCTTCATGGTCCACCACTCAAGCAACTGGGAACCATAGTGGCAAAGACTCTCAGTCTACAATAGAAAAAAAAAGGGGGGATAAGCATTAGGGAGTCCAGAGGAATGACACACCAGAGACAGTGCAATGGGTGTTTGCAATTCCCTATTTTGAAAAGCAGAAAGACTCAGATTCGAGGAATCACAGGTCAGTAGGGCTGGGCAAAACTACCCATCTGCTTTACTCATGAAGTCCATCAGTGACAGTCCTTTATACATGACACAGTGATAAAAAAATATATATACACTCATTCCACCGGATGAGCAGCCAGTGGTCTTACAGAAACACCCCATCTCAACAGTGAGCATTATAAAAGTATACAGATTTAGTGCTAATATAATAATAAGCATATCTGGCCAGGCAACACCCACCACAAGGTGGGATCCTGAAATATGATGTATATCAACGAAATAAGATAAAAAATAATAATATGTTGATTTACCCCAGTCAAAGGTGAACAGACGTGTGTAGAAAAGCTACAGGAGGAAGACATAGCTAGGTTGTGCAGATAATGTGCAATAAATGTATTGGGAGCTGTCCACATACCAGCCCAAATGATCTCCTTCAAAGGATCGCAGTTTCGAGCAGCTCAGTACATTGTTAGATGATGAATTTGATGTGAAGAAACATTATGTTGATGAAACCAACTAGTGAGCGTAATAGGTGATAGATCACGGGAAACAGTGGAATTCCATGGAGGCAGTACAAGTCAGATAACATAGCATGGAACAAACTGGACAAAGTAGTCGATCTGAATCCGGAGGGGAGTACAAGTGGAAAATGGAAGGTAAGGAAATAGGACAAAAAGGCTAAACAACTTTCCCGGGCAGCCAAGGTCCTGGAAAGAAAAGCTCTATCTGGATAGTGGATAACATACAAGAAATGGTAAAGGATGCAGGAAACATTAATGGCATAAATATCAGAACAACGATAACTGCATGCCAAGAGGGGGAGGAGATAGGTCTAAAGGGAAAGACGGTACAAAAAACATGTTGCAATGGGTTCAAAGGGTGAACCAGACAGGGCATGAAGGACAAGAATGAGATCCCAATCCAGCAGAGCAAAGGGACATGGTGGACAGACCAGACAACAGGAACAGAAAAGAAGGGAAATAACTGGGAAGGAGAAGGCATTCCTGAAGTGGAAGAATGGAAGTTGTTCAACAGAGCAGCCCTTTAATGAGCAACAGTTGAAACAGACAAACCCTGATCAAACAACCAGGTGAAGAACTGGGACAGGCAAGGAACAGAAGAACGGGATGGTCTGAAGTAAGAGCAACATCTCTAGTACATAGACAAGGAGGAAGAGCAAATGGTATGGGCGAGGAAAAATGCTACATCAGGGGTGAGTTCCTGAGCCGAGGCAAGAGACAGGACAAAAGGCAAACATGAAGATAGAGTTTGGTGATGTTGGGATGAAATACGTCCAATCGCGGTTGTCAGAGAATTGATCAGGACAGAGGGAAGGGCAGGGGCTGTTGCTCCAGTAAGGACAACAGCAGAGGGAACCACATCTGAGCCAGCCAATATGTAGCAACCAGCAGAACACAACAAGGAATGGTCTGGATAAGGGAAATAACTCTGTAGAGGAGTCTGAACAGAGAGTAGGCATATAGGTGAAGACCCCCTCCAATGTCAACTGAAAATATCCACTCCAGAGCTGAGGGATGAGGAATTGGAGACCAAAAGGAACGAAGTTTGGTATTCCAGTGAGTGGCAAATGTATATACATACATGCAGCGTTCCCAGTTGACAACACATCCATAGAAATACCTGAGAATGAAGGGACCACTCCGTGAAGAGAAACGGTTGGCCACAAGATTCATAATTCCAGGAACATGACATTCCAGAACTATCATGTCAGGGTAATGGGCCTAGTACAGGAGATCCCGAGTCTGAAAACTTGCTTGGTGATACAGTTGAAAACAGTGGAATTGTCAAAATGAACCATAACCGCCTGCCCTTGCAGGAGTGGAAGAAAATGATACAGATTCAGATGAAATGTCAAAGGTTCTAGGATGTTGATATGGAGAGTAGCCTCTTTGATTGACCACTAACCCAAAATTTTTAGGGAATAAAGGAAGCATCTGTGAATAGATGAGACTTGGGACAAGGCAGAGGAATGGGAACCCCCACTGTGATCAAGTCCCTGTTGAGCCACCAATCAAGGTCGGCCTTGATCCCAGTTGGAAGGGTGATGAGATGGTCCAAGGGATAGTGGGAGAAGTTCCACTGTTTGAGAAACATCCGACCCATGGGAATGAAAGCTTCCAAGGAAGTTCACATCCCCTAAAGAGATAAAACCTCTTGTGCAAAGAGAGAAGGAGAGAGTAGGGCCTTTGTGGCTGCCCACTCCATATCCTGTAGACAAAGTGGAGAAGGCTGGGCCTGATCGAGATGGGAATTGCAGAGAACCCCAAATGAATAAGATACTGTGTGGGGGAAGTAAAGGACTTCTCCAACTTGATGAGAAACCCCACCTGAGCAGCTTCTCAAAGAAGTAAGCGAGTGTAAGTGACTGACTGGGCATGGGAAGAGGCGAGCAGTAGCCAGTCTGTTGGATACACAAGACTGCTTAGTGTAAGTGTTATCATTTAGTAAATTTTTATGACTTAATATTGAATGATCATTTAATTTTCATGACAGGAGTATCAAAGGTTGATTGTTTTAAAAGTGTTAGTTGTGACAAGTTTGTTTGAAGTAGCCAGTCTGTTAGATACACAAGACTGCTTAGTGTAAGTGTTATTACTTAGTATATTTTATGACTTAATATTGAATGATCGTTTCGTTTTCATGACAGGAGTGTCAAAGTTTGATTGTTTTAAAAGTTTCAGTTGTGATAAGTTTGTTTGCATAACTTTGTACGATTCGTATGTTGTGTTTGAAATTATGTTGTTGTCTAGGCTTTACTAATATCATTCATGTCACATTACTCGAACCTTTGGTATTTTTCGAGGCCTTAGTTGGGTAAAGTACAAATATAGGTGGCTCATGAATGCAAGTTAAGAAGAAGTGTGAAGTGAAGTGAAAGTGCAATTCAGTGAGAAAAGTAGATATCGAAAGAAAAGGTGAAGTTAGGCAACATGTGAGTGATTAGCTGTAATGGGCTATATTTTAAAATGAGTTTCATAGTTTAATAGAGACAAGGAAAATAAGTAAAAATAATGAACCAACACACCCACAAAATTAGCCAAAGGTACAACTACACACAGTAATGATCGTGCAACATCAATACCTATCCCAAAAATTAAACAAAAAAAAGTAATAATCAAACTCTAAATGTAAATTTAAGCTAAAGTGACTTAGATGGTAAAAGAATTATAAAAATATAACTTATCAAATACTGAGCAGGGAAGACATGAAAGACCTAAATTATCAAGAACAGAAATTAGGTCCATCCACATAAACACACATAAACTTGCTAAACATGGGTATACTTACTGGGAGTGAGGAATACATACTGAAAAACTTACCAAAGAACTCCTGGGAAAAAGAACAATACCTAACGCAAAATATTACATGGAGGTACGGTATCAGAAGGAAAGTGTTATAGAAAGAAATTTCTACACACTAGTTATATTCTTTCTCACAAAAAATTTTGAAAGGAGGGAATCTCTGGCTGAACGTAAAACAAGAACTCCCTGCGAACTAAAGCCTGTGCTTCCCCAACAATCATCATCGACCCTGAGACCTGGGGACTCGTGTCAGAACCAGTATTTACTAATGCAGGAATTTCATCATCTGCCATATTAAATCTTGAATTCATATGAACATAGAATTCAGAAAACAAAAATATTTCTAAAACAAACAAGCAGAAACAATGGAAATCAAACACAAGAAGTTGAAACTGATATAAATTTGTGATCAAGCACAATCAAAATTTTGTAGTCCCATGGAGAACAAGTTAAAACACATGTCTATAAACTAGAATGCCAATCGAGAAAGTGAGGTTTGTGGTAGAATAGTAGAGGGAGCTAGCTGCACTAGTATAGATGATGCAATATGATTGGTGGAGGGTAGTCACATGATCAGCATGTTCTAAAATGGTGTGAAAATGAATGGGTATAAAAGAATGGTGCACTGTTAGGAAAAATGATTTTAGCAACGCTTAGAGGACAAACCAGGATCAAGATAGCTTTGAATGAGAGGAGACAGTACTGTTTCCGAATTCTGTCTGATGTTAGAAATCAATTTTAAAAATCACTATACCTGAAATTTCCAGGTTTAGAATTTTTGTTTAAAAGTTTAAAAAATAAAAACATTCAAACTGATGGATCTAATTTCAAGTTTTGCCCCAACAGTGATTTTTAATTGGGAGGAAAAGAAATGTTTAAACTTCCAGATTAATCTCATATCTTATAACTACATGCTAAACCAACTTTTTATCCATTACTTGTGTGTGTAAACTCCAATTTTTAAGTTTTAATCTCACCTTGGAATGACAAGACAGGTCTCTTAAGACATGTCTACTACAGGGTCGGCAAAGAACAGATGATTGAGAATGAATGGATTGAGCTAACGAGCTACCTGGGTCAAACCACCGTGTGTTATAAAAGTGCTGAGAATCATCATCACTATCTACATTATCATGGCAAGGTTGATTATATGATTTTCTTTTGCCTAATGAAGTAGAAACAAAAAAACATGTACAAAATAGCTGACATCCTGTTTTATTTAACCTTTGAAGGCAATTTACTAATGAAAAATTTTCTTTTTAAAAGGTTTATATATTGATTTCTATAATTGATTTGGCACAGAAAATTAAAAATATATTGATAATAAGTCTAAATATTTGTATAAAATAATGTTCATGCATTAATATTTTATGTTCAAGATGTCATTATACATGTGATCTAATCTTTGATAATGAAAAAAGAATAAATTAAATATTAATGAGAAAAGAAAAAAATAAATCTTGTAGTTTAATGCCTCTCTCAGAGTTGTAACTGACACACACTCACAAATTCTAAAAATATCTGCTTACAATAACTGGACTCCAAAAATAACTTTTACAAAACCAAAAATATTATCCAGCCACTCTTTTAACTTTTTACTCAAGTTTTATTTAATATGTAAAATAAGTTTTAAACCCATTTTATATTCATTTATACATTAAGTTTTACATTTCTTTTTGGTTATTTTATCTGTACATTAGTCAGTTACTTAGACAAATAAACTCTAAAATAATGGCCTTGTCAGCAAAACAGAACTTCATATGGTTGAGTATAAAATGATTTAACTAAGACTACTTTATTTTCTTCCACAAAAAGCATTTATTTCCCTATCATAATTCAAATGAAATACACAATTATAAAAAAGCTTTTTGCAGGATTGTAAATGCAATAAAAGTTGTTCATAGACACCTTTTCCTCTAGAAATATATCACCTAACTAAGCTATTACCATTCTGTTCTGATCTCTAGGCAAATCACTGATAAACCTGAAGAATTAGAGCTTGTACAATTCAAATGGATGCAGGAAAAAAAATAATGTTTTTAGGTAAGTACTGAATGGAATTGGTCACACTCACGAGGTATCCTCAATGGTCCACCACAACAGCAGCTAGGAACTGGTAAACAACAAGGACTCCCATGCCCTACTACAAGAAAAAAGGGTGGTGAAAACACATTGGAAAGTCTGGAGGAATGAACCACCATAAGACAGTGCAACAAATGACCATGAAAACACTTTTTGAAAAGCAGCTAGCATGAGTTGCTAAACTATGCTTGGAGGATGGGCAGGAATCCTTTGCCTGCTTTTCCTCTTGATAGTCCATGAGTGGGTATACTCTGGATTGGGCCTTGTTTAAAACATTTAGCACTGCAAAGATACCTTCAATGTTCTGGTGGGACATTCAATATCATGAGTGACTGCCATACCAGGCCAGAATGGCCATATACTGAGAAGGATCCTGTAAAGTATGAGAAGGCCAGAGAACCACCAGAGAACAAGAAAACTCTCCATGGTAAACCAAGGAAGGTTGAGAAACTGATTGAGACAGGAAAGATCTATGACAGGATGCCAATTCCCATTTTTCTTACAAACAACAAACAGAAGGAAATAAAATCCTGGAGAAGAATGAGAAACCTGTTAAATAGTGTCATTGGCCAACTGGTGTAACACCACCTCTGAGACATGCTGACAAGATTCAGGATCCCTTGGAGGAGGGAAAGGAGTGAGAACATGAGACAAGAGAGGAGGAGAGTAAAAACAATGAATAAGTCTCTCTAAGAAAACTTGTAACACCAAATGGTAGCCACAAATGGAAGCCATAGATCTGACAACAGAGCCAAACAGGCTCCTATCATTCCTGAGTCTAGAGGATAATCACCAACAAGATTGTTGGTATTGAAATCTATGCACAGAAGAAGAAGAACAAATGGAAGCAGAGGAATGGGAAGGAGGGACAGGATGCTGAAAGATGGGAAACTGTAATGGGAAAAGAATAAGCTTGGAAAAGTTGGCATGTATCCTCAACCCATGATTCCAGAGAATCAGATGCTCCACCAAAGACACACCTTGGTGTAGGAAAAGAGCCAGAGGAAGGTCCCTAAGATAAGAAGGAGGCAAACATACCTGAGCAAGAAGGAAGTCCCTCCCTAACAAATCCCAGTAACAGAGCAACCAAGTCAGAAGGGACAAGGCCAAGGAAGAAGAAAAGACCAATGTAGAGAAAATAAGGGAATGAGTACCCATCAAAAACTCTTCGGGTAAATGGTGGTTTGCCTCAGAAAGAAGGTGAATGGAGTAAAAATAATGCAACAAAATAATGACGGTAAGACAGAGGAGTGAAGAATGGGCCTGAGAAAGTAGAACATAAGGTGGAGGACCTGAGCCCCAAGCCTGAAGAAGAGACTCCAGGGTTTAGGAGTCCAAGAAGGGAAATCCAGCTCAATGATAAGCCAAGGCATGTATGTCAATCAGGCAAGGAGAATGAGGTATTATGGCACTAGAGCAAAATTGAGATAAAAACTGTTCATTATGGACTTGAATATCTGCAGAGGGAGGAAAAACATAATAGTCAGAAGCAGTGGGCAAATGAAGAAGTGAAGGAGAAGAATTAAAAGAGGAGAGAGAAGGCAACATACCTGATAAACCATAATCTAGAAAAGATGAAGGTCTAAGTAGATCCAAGACAGTGTTGTTAGAAGAGTTGGCAAAGGTAGTTGGTAGGAAAAAAGTCTGTCAAAATCCACATCACACAAATCGGATTCACAGGAGGAGGTATATCTGTATTAGGTTCACAAGAAGGTCCAAGCCGCATGAAAGAATTCATGTCCCATCCCACAACACCCATCACTTCCCCAACAGACAAGAAGAAACTCCCTGTCATTGCAATTGTTTGTCCAGCATGAACAACATCTTGTTGTACCCCACCAGACAAAGTGGAGGTTACCATCACTTGTTAATTCATAATGTGAATACAAAAATCTACAAGATCTGTAGGTGCAGAAATTTTGAAAACTAAAAATCAAATTTATTCTTCCTACAACAGTAGGTGTTTTTTTATACATACTTCCACAACAAACGCCAATACCAAAAAAATCTCAGATGGGAAAAAGATGTTTTTATATGAGTGCCAAATTGAGAAGTGATGATTGAATAATCAATATAGAAGTCAGCTGCACTAGGTGGCTGCCAAACACATATTAGTGAAAGGTTGTATGCTCATTTGGATGCAACAAAACAGCAATATCAAAGGGAAATACATTAATTTAAGTAGAAGCCTTAAGATAGTTGCGAGCAAGGTATGGATATAGAGGGCAGCACTGAATAAAAAAAGCTGTATGATTGAATAATGTGATGATTGAATAATCAATATAGAAGTCAGCTGCACTAGGAGGCTGTCAAACACATATTAGTGAAAAGTTGTATGCTCATTTGGATGCAACAAAACAGCAATATCAAATGGAAACACATTAATTTAAGTAGAAGCCTTAAGATAGTTGCGAGCAAGGTATGGATATAAAGGGCAGCACTGAATAAAAAAGCTGTATGATTGAATAATGTGATGATTGAATAATCAATATAGAAGTCAGCTGCACTAGGAGGCTGTCAAACACATATTACTGAAAGGTCGTATGTTCATTTGGATGCAACAAAACAGCAATATCAAATGCAAACACATTAATTTAAGTAAAAGCCTTAAGATAGTTGTGAGCAAGGTATGGATATAGAGGGCAGCACTGAATAAAAAAAGGTGTATGTGAGGGAGGTTATATATTGTATTAGAATGTAACAATTTCGTTGGTATCTCACTGAAATCACCCCAAAATTTGTAACTTTTTTTATGAATAAAAATTTTTAAAAATGCAACTTTTTTACTGAATAAATTTCTACTCTGAAAAATTTTACGTATTGTTATGTGTGGGAAACAACTACCAGTTTATTTTTATTTTTTAATTCAATGGAGAAATTTTTCCTTGGAGGTTGGCTGCACTTGTTTGAGTGTCAGAGAGTGAAATAGTTGGTCCATGTGATAAACACTTATTTTTGTTACAGCTTCTGAATTGGCAATTGATTTAAGTAAAAGATGGTAACTGATTTTTATCTATAACAATAAAAGTGAACCTTCTCTTTCTCTGCCACTGTTGTGGTGTCTTGGAGATTCACTGTCTCT